GTTTTCAGCACCCCAAAATCATAAAAGAACAACTATTTTCAGGCCTGCAACTTTTTCTCCGTTGAACAGTGTCTCCAAAAACCTATCCATTTCACCTGTCATGTCCAGCATTTTTTAAATTTTATTCATTACATTTGGCCCAGCCTCAGTTTTTAAATGCTGTCTATGGTGTTACTGTCTAATGCTTATTGTTATTGTTTTAATGTTTATTGCTTTGCTTTATGAGTTTATTTATTGTTGTATTTGTTACGCTGTTGTTTATTGATGTGTTGGGCCTTGGCCTCTTGTAAGCCGCACCAAGTCCTTCGGGAGATGTTAGTGGGGTATAAATAATGTTAATAATTAATAATAATAATAATAATAATAATAATAATAATAATAATTGGAAAGGGGAAAGGAAAGAAATCTTCTAAGCTCTCTTGTATCTATTATATTCTCTGGCAGACAATAACTTCTTGCAATATTTGAAAAATGTAAACAGAAATCCAGTAACACTAAACTGAGGAAATCAGTGCTCTAGAGACAGCTGTCCTATTCAATATGTTAACCAGACGATTGCATGAATATTTATTGTGTCTCCAATTCTCCATAGGTGTGTGGGCTTTAATTCAGATTCCACTCCCAGCATGCAACAATTTAATTGGGAAAAATAATATGTAGTCCAATTGATTAATTTGTTCTTATGTTGTGGTCTTAGACAGGTAAGGGACTTTAGAATAATAAATTCTGCCTCTACAAAGTTTGCAGTAAATCTAAGGGCATCCAGATATTTATTTATTTATTTATTTATTATTTGAACTTATATGCTGCCACTCCCCTAGGGGAGCGGCTTACAAGAATGGTTAAAATCTAACACAATTTAAAAACAATTTAAAACAATTTAAAAACAGCAATATCAAAAATCAAAGGCCTGTCGAAACAGGTATGTCTTACATGCCCTGCGGAAAGCTGATACGTCCCACAAGGCACGGTCTTCAGGTGGCAGAGTATTCCAGAGTGATGGTGCCACTGCTGTGAAGGCTCTGCGTCTGGTTGCTGTTAGACGCAAGGTCTTGACACTGGGAATTTCCAATAGATCTTGGTCCTCAGAACGGAGGGATCTCTGGGGTTGGTAGGGGGTGAGGCGGTCCCTCAGGTACATCGGCCCCAGACCATGCAAGGCCTTAAAGGTGAGTACCATCACTTTGAAAGTGATCCGGTGCTCAGTTGGTAACCAATGCAGCTGCAGTAAGATTGGTGTTATGTGGCATCTCATCGGAATTCCCGCAAGAAGCCGAGCAGCTGCATTTTGTACCAACTTGAGCTCAGAGCACCAACAGAGGAAGGCCAATGTAGAGGGCGTCACAGTAGTCCAGTCTTGAGATGACTGTAGCCTGGATCACCGTAGCTAGGTCGTCCCTGGACAGGTAGGGGGCCAGCCGTCCGCAGATGAAAAAGGCAGTTCTGCTAACGGCGGAGACCTGGGCCTCCATCGTCAGCAGAGGGTCCAAAAGGACTCCCAGACTCTTTACCAATGATGACGGGCGTAGCGCCTCGCCATCCAGGGTAGGCAGCTGGATATCCCCACTGCCCGGTTGACCCAGCCATAGGATCTCCGTCTTTGCTGGATTCACCCTCAACCTGCTGGCACGCAGCCATCTAGTAACGGCCTCGAGGCACTGATGGAATCCTTTTGGTTACAATGTGGTGTTTGCTTCCAACAGGTCTCAAATTAAACTGAACAAATTTTACAGGAATTGGAAAAATGTGCTGAGAATATTTCATTATTTTGCTATAAAATGTAGTTTTCTTATACATATTGATAATTATGATCTGTACGTAATTGTCTGTCCTAGCCAGTCATGTGCTGCCACCTATAATTCATTTTTTTTTTAAGGGTGAGGGGGATTTGGTATCTTGGAAACAAACTTCACAAATATGCAGGTACAATACAGAAAGCCATTCACTGTTTTCTGTTTTGTTCATGAACCCTTTAAACCGATGGCTGAATACAAAATCATACTTGGAGATGACCCTCTCAAATTGAAGGTTAGTTACAACTAATTTTCATTTATTTTAGTGCTCTTGCTCTGTATGTGGCTAATTCGAATTCAAACGTATTTGTTTGAATCAATCTCTTGGGTCAAGGAACATTTAAATGGGTCTAACTTCATGACTCCTGGACTGTTTGTATGCATGGTATGCAAACTTATGGTATATACCGGGATTGTGGCACAGCTGGCTGAGTGTCCGTTGCATTAAGATCACTCTGACCAAAAGGTCATGAGTTCGAAGCCAGCCCGGGTTGGAGTGGGTTTCCAACCAATTGTGTGTAGCCTGTTGTCGATCTTTGCAACCCGAAAGACAGTTGCATCTGTGAAGTAGGAAAATTAGGTACCACCTTAAAAAAAAGTGTGGGGAGGCTAAATTAACTGATTTATGAGGCCATAAAGAAGACTCCAGCAAAAAGCATTCCAGCGGGGAAGCATGCGGGGAATGCGGAAGTGCTTCATCAGCGTCGCAGATGGACAAGGAAAGCCACAGCTCCCCTAGCGGCCAGAAAAAGTTAAATAGCCTCTGTGTATGTCTGTATATGTTTGTATATCAAAAATTGGCATTGAATGTTTGCCATATATGTGTACACTGTAATCCGCCCTGAGTCCCCTGCGGGGTGAGAAGGACGGAATATAAAAGCTGTAAATAAATAAATACTCATGCAAACAAACTTTTATAGGGGGGTTTTTTGAGTGGGGGAAGTTTATAAAATTTGCAAGAGAAACTTGGAAAAAGATTTAACTTACTTATTGTAGATCCTGATTCAGGCCTGTTCAAGGAGCTAATGATAACAAAACCAAAGCCTTCGTTCTCTTTGCGATGGATGACAACATCACTCGTCTGCATGCTGTGCGAAGCAAAGCCCTCTGGAGGTGTAGCATTGCTACTTGATCCAGCATGGTTGCTGTTTGCGTAGGTGGCATAGTCGCTTCTTGGAGAACTGTGGTGTGTTGAAACAGAGCCTGGACTCCTGCCATTCTCTGGACACGGTTCTCCTGAAAAAAAAAAAAGGAAATGCACTGTGATTAAGACTGGTTTGTTGAAAAACACATGCTGCCCTTAATAAGTCTGTGACAGCTGCTTTCTTTTTACTAATTCTCATATTACAAATGGAACTCTTACATTCCAGATTGACAAGCATGGTGTAACGGAATGGGCCTACCTTGAAGGGATGGTGTGGTAGGATTCCTAAGTCTTAAAAGGAAAGGCTTTGTCTAAACCAAAAGGGAGGAGGGAATACACACTCCTTATATGGTAGTCAGGCATGTAGCCGGGGAGTGGGGGCTTGAGTCATTGGGAACGAGGGACAGGGCCTTCTCGGTGGTGGCCCCACGACTCTGGAACTCCCTCCCCAAGGACATCAGGCACTCCCCAACACTGGCAGTCTTCAGAAGGAGCTTGAAAACATGGATGTTCCAGTGTGCCTTCCCAGATTAAGGAATCCCAAGCAATGTCCCTAATGCACTTTATGAGAGAGTTAGAATTGTCTGCACACCCTTTTATTTCCAAAATATTCATCCTACCTCACCTGGACATGCCCAGCATTTTTAGAATTTTAACCATTACATTTGGCCCTGCCACAGGTTTTTAATAGTGTCATGTTTTTGTTAATGTTCTGCTTTGCTGTGAGTTATTTATTTTTGCATTGTATTGTTGTTGTTGTGTTTTTGCTAATGATGTTCTTTGGGCTCGGCCTCTTGTAAGCCGCACCGAGTCCTGCGGGAGATGGTAGCGGGGTACAAATAAAGGATTATTATTATTATTATTATTATTATTATTATTATTATTATTGATCAAAACCACTGGCTAGTGTTCTGCCTACTGCATATATACTGCATGCTACAAAACCACTGGCTAGTGTTCTGCCTACTGCATATATTTCAATATACAAAGCAAAATCTCTAGAGGATATAATCATGCTTGATTTCCCCGAATCCATGAAAAGTTGTTCTTTTCTCAAGCAGGTAAGTATGTCCTCTAGCAGCCCTTCTACTTTGAAATAAAGTGATTAGCAGAAGGAAGATGAAAGCAAAATAAACAATCATTATGCCCCTCCGTTCCAAATTGAAAATCTCCAAAAGTTACTGAACCAAAGCTGCAACTAAATGCCACAGTCGGTGACAAGAAAGATCTCATTTTCTGGCTGTCATGTTTTAGAAGGCTGAATGCTGCTCACGCCACTATGGGAGCAACAGAAAGAGAATTATCGCACCCCACTGAATGACAAAATGCTGCCTCTGCTATAAATGAATGTAACAGATTCCCATTAAGCACCAGAAGGGATGATGTACCAGGTGAAGCAGATTTTATATTGCAATTTGAGTTCACTGAAAGATCTACTCATTGCTGGCAGGGGATGGGAGGTGGGGAGTAAAGCTCAGTTACGCTACTTGCAGAAGGCAGCATTTTAATCCTTTGGTCCCCTGAAATGTCACTTTCCTCTGACAATTCAGTTCTCCGTTGCTAGCAATTCTGCTCTCCATATTTTTCAGTTCTGAAAGCATTACAACACTCTAAAAATGCAGTCCGATTATTTCATGCTTTCAAAATGAGCTATACAA